GCGCACTGTGCTGTGGCTATTCCCTGCCCCCCAGGGCCCACAGGGGGTGGATCGGGGCTATGGCTGGAGCGCACTGCGCTGTGACTATCCCTGCTCCATAGGAGACAGAGCAGCCCTGAAGATGGGGACCAGTGGAAGCATTTCATCATTCCTCTGTCGTGGATTGATCCAGGACTGATGGCAGAGCTGTGCAAGGGGGTGTCTAGGCCTGGAAGAGCAGGGCTGGCTGCAGGTGAGGACTGAAGGACACAGGCAGAGCTCTGGGACTGTTGAAGAGGAATTTCACGTTCACAGGAAGTTCCATGATTTCAACCTTTTTGCCATTCTGGAACTAAACCGACAACATTCACAATTTCATTTTCATCGAAATGTTTCATTCCCATAAAATCAAAACGGTTCGTTCCGATTTTGACATTTTAAAAATCTTTTTACTTAAATGTGTTTTTTTTTTTTTTAACCCGAAAGAATGAATTCCATTTTGAAACATCGCAAAACCCCCAAACCATGAAAATATTCAGTTCTGAAAATGTCGCAACAGGACGCTGAGCTATTATTAAAACACTTCATTTCGGGGTGTCTCGAAATGAAAGGTGGTGGAAATCGACGCGTGTTTCGATTTGGAGGGAACCGGCATTTTTCATCAAGTGACCGTTTTCCTGAAAAGTTTGCAGCCAGAGTTAGTGTGTGTGCAGCCCATGGCTTGATCACACGCTCTGTAAGCCCTTATGTGGGGAAGAAATTTCTGATGGCAGATGACTCTTTAATCTAGCAGAAGAAGGTCGAGCGAGGGCCAGCATCTGGATACTAAAGTTTGCCAAAAATCAGAGTAGAAATAAGATGTGAATTTTCAACAGTGTCATCAACTGTTAGAACAACTTCCCCTGGAGGTGGTGGATTCTCCATCACTGATGTTTTTAAATCAAGAATATCTTTCTAAATGCCTGTCCCTATCTCAACAGAAGTTATGGGCTTGCCTCGTTGCATTAATTACTGGTGGCGGGAGGTGTCTCTGGCGTGTGTTACACGGGAGGTCAGACCAGATGATCACAGTGGTACATTTTGGCCTTTAAAATCTAGGACTAGGACTGGTACAGCAGGGCCTGCTACAGGTCAGGATGGAGGTGGTTTGAAGGGCTGCTTGCAATACACTTGAACGTTGCCAGTGATACCTACCCGAGTAGCTGAATCCATCCCAACACTGAAAGACAGCTGGTGAGGAAATACATCGAAACGGCTGCAAAACCAGAACCCTTGCACTACCGACCCTTCTAAAGTAGCCGGCCCCGTGTACTCACCGTATACAGCACGGAGCCCCGGCCGATCAGATAGTGCCGGTGGAGGTGTGAAACCACAAACTTTGGATGCGCTAAGACGACGGTGAGCCACACAAAATCAAGGGAGTTCTCTTCCGGCATTTCCCCCACTGCAGGAGAAGAGAAAAGCCTGGAATCACACTAGCCATAAACAGATCCATTGGCAATCCGCTGCCTTTGCACAGGCGCCTTTGACCTATAATGCAATCGCTGACCCAGTTAAGAGAAGCTCTGGGTAGATACTCATCAGATCCACACATCAGCAATCTTCAAAGGCAAGGGCACTGAGTGGCTTAAGGATGTAGGCTTGCAACTACTACAGGAACCCTTTTGCTTGAAGGTCACAGGTTCAAATCTCACCCAGGTGGGTAGTGACAGAATCTTTGATTGGCACTAACTGGCCTCAACCGGGCGAGGATCAAACAGGCCAAAGATATAACACTCCTCTCCCCTTCAAGGTGGATCTCTCCAGGTCAAAGCAGATCTGACATCCTGCTCTCTTCACTAGACCTCACTTCCCTCCTACAGCTGGGAATAAAACAGGGGACTCCTGACTCCCAGTCCCCACTGCTGTAACCCATTAGACCCACTCCCCTCCCAGAGTTGGGAACAGAACCCAGGATTCCTGGTTCCCAGCCCCCTGCTCTAACCACTAGACACCACTCCCCTCCCAGAGCTGGGGATAGAGACCCTTCTGACAGGAGACAGTTTTGCCTAGTGGATAGAGGGCAGGACTGGGAGACCTGGGCTCTATGAGGTAACCTTGAGCGAGTCCATTACCCACTCCATGCCTCAGTTTCCCCATCTGGAATATGGGGATAATGCTACCGCCCTCCTTTGTGAAGCACTTTGAGGTCTACGGGTGAAAAGCGCTAGGTATTATTATTATTATTATTATCCTCAACGGCCAGTCCCCCTGCTCTAACTCAGGAGACGCCGGCTCCTCTGATCTCCTGCAAATTCATCTAGCCGTTACAATCCCGTTATTTTCACATCCCCTTCCAAGACTCTCCTCTCTTACTGCTTTCTGCCGCCGACCTGACGCTCAGGAACACTGAGAAAGAATAGACGTTATTCTTGTCCAGGTAAATCTTGCTGGGCAGCTGGTTATTGGGCTGCAGGTCATAGATCTTCACGTAGCTCTCCATGTTGACGTAGACACCTCCGGAGGAGTTGCCGTTGCTCGCTACGTAAAAGAAATACTCCTGAAAAAGGAGAGGCGGATTTCATCTCTACCAAGCGTAGTCTATTAATATGCATTAAGCACACACTATCAGTATAACATCGTGTATATATTTCGAGCAGTGACGTGGCCTACTTTGGCCTATGTCTTTCTATAATCCTGTTTGCTGACGCTCCCAGAACACCTTGCGTTAGCTGAATTAAGCTTCGGCGTAGGCGGATAGGAAAACGGTCAGGATCAGGAGACGTGGGTGTCGGTTGCTTGAAATGTGTGTTAACTGCTTATGCTAAACGGTCCGTTTCGCTGTACATTTAGCTGTGACGCACTGAGTCTGTTTCCCAGACCTGAAGAAGAGCTCAGGGTGAGCTCACAAGTGTGTCTCTCTCACCGACGGGAGTCGGTCCAATAAACCAGATCACCTCCCCTACCTTGTCTCTCTCTTCCCGTAGTAACAGGCAGGGGGTTATTTGCACACAGCCAGCCGCGGCATGTCCCAAAGGACATATGATTGTGTTACCCTGGTACAAGGCGAGGAAGTGCCTTCACGCCCCTTGGTACCTGACATGCATGTGTTCAGAACAAAGAGAAAAGCCCCAAGCCCCGGTGCGCCTGGCCCCGCAGCTGAAGCCCGGAGTCCCGAATGGGGAGGAGGTTGTGAAGGTTAGGACTATAACAGGGTTTAAAAGAGAACTGGATAAATTCATGGAGGTTAAGTCCATTAATGGCTATTAGCCAGGATGGGTAAAGAATGGTGTCCCTAGCCTCTGTTTGTCAGAGGGTGGAGATGGATAGCAGGAGAGAGATCACTTGATCATTACCTGTTAGGTTCACTCCCTCTGGGGCACCTGGCATTGGCCACTATCGGTAGACAGGATACTGGGCTGGATGGACCTGCGGTCTGACCCAGTACAGCCATTCTTATGTTCTTATGTTAATGTAAGCCCTGGGTACCCCATAGTACCAGGAAACCCAGGCAGAAAGCTGATGGGGGGAATCTAGCCTCAAATGACGCCCATGGGGCCGTGTGCTTGTCAACAGGTGGAGTATAAACAGGACAATTTTGGGGGTGTCACTTTGGAACGGGGAATTTAACGCTGCCCAAGACAGCTTTGTGGCGACCAAGCCTCTCTTCCGGCCCTAGCTTCTCACTGACTTTTTGCAACCCCCCTGACTGGGCTCTTGGATATATTTCATAACTGAACCAAAGCGTGGTCAAGCAACAGCCTGTACCATTTCCCGAGAGGAGGACGCGGTGGCATGGGCAAGGGACCCCAAGCTGTGGTATGTGAATCGCTGGTGGTACAGGGGCTGGGTGGATGGTGGACACCACAGCTTCAAATTAACAGTGGTCCCGCTCACTGCAGTGCGCCAGGAAAGGCCTGAGAAGCAAAATGGACTTGGCCCTAAGGGGGACTCACATCTGGCATTGGGAGTGGGTTTAGAGACCCCGCCATGGAGACTAAGGGGGTGAAGGAGCACAGTGGAGCATGCTCCAAATGGAGGATCTGCTCCAAAGGAGACTCAAGCAAGGGGGAGAGTGAAGGAGACGCTGTCTGGGAGGAGGAAGCCAGTTTGCAGCTGCTGGGAACAGAGCAATCCACAAGGGGCTGAATATTGTGAGTAAGACCCCAACTGGGAGGGTGGGGGCACGGCCCTCTTCCCTGCCCCAACTCCCTGCTGAGGGAGCCTATCCGAACACAGGGAAGAGAGCTGGGGGACACTTGTTTGGCCAGCTGAGTCGCTGAGACTGATTGGGAACTGGGGTAAGCCTGCATCCGTGCCCCACACTGCAGAAAGAGCGGGGAGGCAGGGAGCGGCCCAGCACCCACCCCTTGAATACTGCGCGCAGTTCTGGGTGCTCCATCTCAAAAAAGATACATTCGAATTGGAAAAGGTACCGGCAACAAAAATGATCAGGGGGATGGAACGGCTTCCAGATGAGGAGAGATTAAAGAGACTGGGGCTGTTCAGCTTAGAAAAGAGACGACTGAGGGGGGATACGAGAGCGGTCTATACAATCATGGCTGGTGTGGAGAAAGTGAATAGGGACGTGTTATTTACCCCATCACAGAACACACAAACCAGGGGTCACCCGATGAAATTAATAGGCATCAGATTTACAACTAGCAAAAGGAAGGACTTCATCTAATGCCCAGTCAACCTGTGGAACTCATTGCCAGGGGAAATTGTGAAGCCCAAAAGAGAATGAGATCAGTTCCTGGAGGATAGATCCATCAATGGCTATTAGCCACAATGGTGAGGGACGCAATCCCATCATGCTCTGGGTGTCCCTAAACCTCCAGCTGCCAGAAGCTGGGCGTGGATGACAGGGGATGAATCACTCGATAATTGCCCTGTTCTGTTCATTCCCTCTGAAGCATCTGGCCCCGGCCACTGTCAGAAGACAGGATACTGGGTTAGATGGACCACTGGTCTGACCCAGTATGGCCGTTTTCTGAAGGCTGGTCAGGTGTACCAGGGAGAGGTGATCAAGACACTCCACACCTCCCTCCCTCGGGCCCTGGGCCCGGACCTGGTGGAGAGGGAGGGCCCAGGTCCCTCTACCTTCCCCACCCTGTCCATCCAGGGAACAGACTGCCGCTGGCCATCAGGCAAGCCCAGCCCCAGGATGTTTGGCATGGAAAGACTGTGGAGCCATGGCCTGCCCATTAGCCCTGCTGGCTTCCAAGTGAATCCTGCTACAGGCTCGGCAGTGTGCTGGGGCTTCCTGGCAGCCTTTCTGCTGGGCCCAACCTACAGCTTGCGCCGAGTCGCCCAGTTGAAGCTTCTGCCTCCTCCTCCCGCCTCCAGAGCTCCTCACGTCCGTCCAACGAGACCCAGGGCCGGCTCGATGCAACTGCAAACCCAGCAGCCACAGGGAGCTCCGAGATCAAGGGCCGCGGCAGAGCCGGGAGGCAGGGACCGCATGGGAAATTCCTTCCTGTCACCGGATACATAATGCTGATTTATTCCCTCTGGAAGATTACAGACTTATTCCAGCCCATGGCAACTACTGGCCCAAGTCTGCCACCTTCTGACTTTCAGGGCTCCCTACCACAGGCAAGAAAAGTTCTTATTCATTAGAACTGTTTTTGAGACATGGCCAATCTACCTTCTCTGTCCCACCTTTGGGGAGGAACTCAGCAGCTGTTTAACTGCAACCGTCTGGGACAGGAAGTGAAGGAGAAAGATCGTGGAACTGCAGTGGGAATGTATGGAGACAGGCTGGAGGTACCCAAACTAAAATCTGTCCAGGCTATCAGAGTTTACAGATCTGTTTCTAAAAGAATATAACACAATTTAGACAAGGAACCAACACCCTTAGAACATAAGAACAGCCGTACTGGGTCAGACCAAAGGTCCATCTAGCCCAGTATCCTGTCTACCGACAGTGGCCAATGCCAGGTGCCCCAGAGGGAGTGAACCTAACAGGTAATGATCACGTCCATCTCCACCCTCTGACAAACAGAGGCTAGGGACACCATTCCTTACCCATCCTGGCTAATAGCCATTAATGGACTTAACCTCCATGAATTTATCCAGTTCTCTTTTAATGCGATCGGTTGGGTTTTTGGTCGAAAGGGAATGTTCAGAATCTTACTGCGTATTGCTTTCTGTTTTTCCACCACCGCCAAGTTGGGTCATGGACCGGGTCAGCATAAGGCTAAAAAAAAAAATAAAAAAATAAAGGGCTTGCTAAATTACAAGTCATCTGAAAACACAAGATTTTCTCATCTGAAAAGCACATGGTCCTGTTGTGGATTTTCCGCGTCTTTCTTATAATCCCTGTTACTTGTGGGAAAGTCCACAGCCCTGAGCAAGGCTCTTCTACGACCTCACTCCCGGCGTGGACAGCACTAGCGCTGCCCCGAGCTCAGAACTCCCAACCTTCCTACCTAGCGCTGTGGGTACAATGTACTTTCCCCCAGCCCATCCCCGTAAGCCAGCTGAGAGCTGATGAGAAGAAATCACCCTGCTATAGTCCGCGTGCAGCCAGAGCAGCTGGAAGATCAGTCCCTGGTATACAGCCAGAGACACGTTGTTGTGGAAGCCTGTTTTGTCCATGACGTCCGGTGGCTCGGTGGAATAGTGCTCCATCCGGGTGAAGCGCTGAGGGGCTGGGAGGTCCTCGAGGCGCATGACCGAGAAGGAGCAGGGATGGAAGAACCTGATGTACTGAGCATCTCTGAGGGAGAAACGGGGAGACAGGAAGCGAGTGTGGGTTGGCACCGAAATGCACTGGTTCATCACAAGGTTGGGCGGTGCTCTGGCATGCTGCAGTGGACTGGGCGGTGAAACAGATCTGTAAACTCTCATAGCCTGGGCGGAGCCTGTGTGCTGGATGGAATCAGGATCTTTCGGCTGTGTGTCATGTGTCCTATACTGCTAATAGCTAAGGGGAGTTGCAGGACACAGAAGAGGCCGTGAGGCTGCCTTGGAGATTCTGAGGTGGAGTGCTGCACCTGTGATCTGGCCTGATGTGTACAGGGCCAGATCCTGCCTGGATCTGGGCACGCTGCGCTCCTCGGGACCACTCCCAGGGGCTGAGCACAAAGCAAGATCAGGCCCCTAGGATCTCACTCCGAGGGACACGGTGCTGCCTAGCAGATAAAGCACTGGATTTGGACTTGGGAGCACAGGTGCTGACTTTCTAATGTGTCGGGGGGGGGGGGCTCGACCCCTGGCTCTGCCCCCTGCCCTGCCCCCACTGCACTCCTTCCCCCAAGGCCCTGCCCCCACCCTGCCTCTTCCCGCCCCGGCTCCACTCCCTTCCCCCAGTGCACCACGCCCTCGCTCCTCCCCCTCCCTCCCCAAGCCTCCTGCACGCTTCAAAACAGCTGATCGCAGCGGACGGGAGGCGCGGGGAGGGAGAGGGAGGCGCTGATCAGCGGGGGCCTGCCAATGGGCAGCAAACACCATTTTTCCCCCATGGGTGCTCCAGCCCCGGAGCACCCACGGAATTGGCTCCTATGCTTGGGAGATCTGGTTTCTATTCCCGGATCTGCTGCTGCTTTGCTGGGTGACTGTGGGCTAGTCCCATCCCTGCGCCGTGCCTCAGCTTCCCCCTCTGTCAAACAGAGTAAGGAGAGTGTTCTCCTGTGTCAAGGCATTATTCCTTAGACCCAGTTGACCGCTCAGCCCTGGTACATGGGCATTGGCGCAGCCCCAGGACTGGAGCCGGCTCCGTCTGCACCAGAAGCGTTGGAACCGTCTTTCCCACCATTGCCCGTGCTCTGCCACTACTCACTGTAAATACATCAAATGGTACTGATGGACGATGAGGTGCCGGTACGACAATATATAATGGAGAGGGAAGTTCCTCTTGATCAGTTTTCCCTCCCCCTGTCCATCCGGTATGTAAACCAGCTGAAAGGAGAGGCAAGAGCAGAAAATACGGGGGAAAGGTAGAGTTCAACCCCTGCTATTCAGGAGAAGTGGAAAGAAGCCATTGTCACCCGGCAGCTGAAACTAACACCCGTTTGTGGCCTCTTGTTTTCTGTAAGCTCTTCATCTTTTTGTTCTGGTCCTGGCCTGTGACTGGGGCTCTTGGGGGTAGCAGTGAATCACCGCTACAAATAAATACAGAAGCAGTAGCACCCATGGAAAAGCTGAAGAGAAACTGAATCATGTGGCGCAAGGAGGAGGAGTTTCGAATGCAGGGGCCAGGACTTTGCTCTGTGTGTGCATGAGAGAGGCCCAGGACAAGAGCTGCCGCAGTGGGAGAAAGCCAGGCGGACCGGAACAAGCTGGTAACGGGGCCCTGAGAGAAAGCTACCGGGGACCGGGTGTGGGCTGGAAAGAAGAGTGGGTCTCCTGCTGGTTGATTCCCACGGTGTTCAAGGAAATGAGGCCTTTGTGCGTTCCGTGCAAATGAACGAGCTTGCGGCAAAGACAAAACTCGACTAGCCCCAATTTCTCCTGCTAATTGGAACAAGCCAGGAGCCCTGGACTTCTTGTCTGGCTGCTTGGGTCAGAAGCAGTAACAGCCGCCCCCATGGTTGGGGGTCATTTTCTTCCCTGTGTGGAAATGGGACGGCATTTGGCCCTAACCTGTGTGGTCACACCCCTTGCCAGCCCTCCCTTGCGTGAGCATTGCAGGTGCCTCCTGCTTCTGATCTCATTTACATGGGTGCGAATCAGGAGTAGCCCCATTCATGTAAATGGAATTACTCCACTGTGGGATTAGCATAAGGCCCTGAAAGTGGAAGCATGAAGGCCTGTCTCTATGCCCAGAGCAGGTGCCCCACACTCACCACCAACGTGTTTCAGATGTAACCTGGGGGAAACTCGATCTCTATGGTGTCTGCTAATGAGGGGGCCAATTCTCCTGTGGCCGCTTGGCCCTGGAAACTGGGCTGAGACGGCTAATGAATCCAATGGCCAATCAGCAGCTGTCAACGGCTTCCCAGCACTATAGACCAGGGCTAGATTCAAACTTCTAGAGACCATTAACCACCCCCTGCGCCACCCACCCCTGCATCTGTGACTCCTGCTGACCGGGCTCACCTGCTGCAGCCCCTCCTTGTTAAAGAAGAGGCTCACAAACGTCTCGTTGACGCTAAAGTCCTTTGACCCTCTCATTAGCTGTAGCCTGAAGTACGTGTCCCAGGCTTCGGAGGGGTAGAGCCGAATGATGACCGAGCTGCCTTCCACAGAAAACCAGATCTGGAGAGCCAAACAGAGCCAGATGTGAAGAGCGGGCGAAGGGAGCAGAAGTCTCGGAAGGGGTCGCTGGAGGGGACTTTCCCAAGGAGCTGCTACATCCCCGCTGCTGAGATGCAGCCACCTCTGCAGGGATGGAGCGTGGCAGCTGTTTATACAGGGTTCGCCCAGCCAGCACGGAGTTCCTCTCGAGTGGGGAGAGAGTGTGGTCTAATGGTGAGCACAGCCCCCCCGCAGGACTCCTGGGTTCTGTGTGCCCTCTGCTGTGCAAGGCCTTTGCTCTCTCTGTGCCTTGCTTTAATCACTTGTACAGGGGATAAGAATATTTAGCAGCTCCTCGGACAGGTTAGGAGGCAGCGTTAGTGACCGAATAGCGCCCTGAGATCCTCAGATGAAAGACACAACACAAAAAGGCAGCCATCCATGACATTGCCGACCACTATTCATCAGTAGACCTCAAAGCAGGTCAGTACCATTATCCCCATTTTACAGATGGGGCAACTGAGGGTACGTCTCCACAGCAAAGAAAAACCCGGGGCTGTCCCGTGCCAGCTGACTCGGGCACACGGGCAGCATACACTGCCCGTGCAGTGTACACTGTGCGTACCCTGTACACATTGCAGTGTAGACTTCTGGGCTCAGGCTCTGGGACCCTCCCACCTCACAGGGTTCTACAGAGCTGGCTCCAGCCTGAGCCCAGACATCTACACAGCCGCGGACCAGCCCGAGCCCCCAAATCAGCTGGCCCGGGCCAGCTGCAGGGGTCTAGTTGCCATATATACCCTAGGACACAAAGAGGTGACATGATTCACCCCAGGTCACCCAGCTTAACCAGGGGCAGAGCCAGGAATAGACCCCAGGGCAGGGTGCTATCCCCTAGGCCACGCTGCAGCCAGTCAAATGATGCGCCCGCCTGATGCACCCACTCACGCCACCGTACCTCCTCCGAGTCTGTCACACACACGAATTCCCCTACATACGACAGAATGAAGTAGCTGATGGGGGATTGTTGGGGGAAGTCGGAGAGGTGAATGTAATTAACCAGGTCGTAGCTGCAAGGAAAGCACAAGGGAAGTGGGAAACATTACACTCCATTGCTTTCGTTCGCCTTTCATTCTCTCCCTGAGGATGAAAAGCCTGGTAGTAAAACCTTTACATTTGGCACTGCCTCTGGGTCTGGCTCTCCTAGCAGACAGTGGCCCCTCTGGTCTGTCCCTTGACCTGTTACATTTGTATTGGCTGTAACGCCACATCTGGAACCTTCACAATTAGCTGATTGTTTTGCAATGGTCGTGTAGTTCCCCACACAGCTCTGCCAATGCGCCGCAGGGTGAAACCCACCCCCTGAGCCGGCAAACACCTTGGGTAGGACATGAGTTCCATTTCAGCTGTATTGGAAGTGCGGCGCAGACTTTGTGCTGACTCTCTGCACGGTGGGTGAATTTCATCCTCGGGGTGCTGTGCAAATCTGGAGGGATCTCGCAGACCGATGCGATTGAGATCAGAATCGGGTCCAGAGCTTTGGGTCACGATTCTTTGACATAGTGATTTTGAGTGCCCCAGTTTTGGGGCTGATTTCCAAAGCAAACGCGGAGGAGACAGGGTTTGTCACTTTCTAAAAATCAGACCTCTTTACGGTGCCTCCGGCCGGGCCCCTGCAATCACTCATCTCTTGAAAATCTCAGCCTTGGTTTTTAAAACGTCTCATTTGAAGGGCCCGAGCATGGCACTCGACTGCTGGGGCGAGCTGTGATTCTGAGGCTGCACCTAACGCCCCAGTCCTGCAGCTGGGTCCATGTGCACCTACTCCCTAATGCATGTGAATGGTGCCGCTTGTAATAACTGGGCCTATAAATGTACCCGAGTTGTGAGTTCAACTCTAAAAAGTGAGTTAGGTTCGGAAGACGTCACAATAACCTATAATGACAAATGTAAACGGGAAAAGGAATGAAAGGCAGGTAGACTGAATGAGCCCAGGAGAAAGGCCGACTGATAGAACTGAAGGACTCTGTTAAATCCGTTAAAATCAGGCCTGGTAAACGAGCAAAGTGTGGAACCAACTCATCAGTTGCCTCCCCGAAAACCAGAGATCGATGCAGACTTTGTTCTCACCTTTGTAAAATAACGTTGCCCCAGATGTAGAAGATTGTGCTGAATGGGTTATAGGACAGCCCCCTTGGGATCAGCGGGGAATCCGTGTATTCTTCCAGTCCCAGCAACATCACAAACCCTTTGTCAGTGTCTGCAGAGGAAAAGTGGGAGAAACCTGGTCAGAGTGGGTCTTCTGTAGGAGCCGCGAGGTCGGAGTTCAGAGAAGAGCAGCAAAAGAAAAGGATCAGGCTGCAAGGAGATTTCCGGGGTATTGTTACGCTGAAAGATGGTAATGGCTGGCATGGGGTAAGGCTTTGATCTAAAGACAATCCTGGGCCTCATTAAAGCGAACAGGGGAGCCAAGCAGTCTTTCAGACCCAATGGAAGCAGCAGCTGAGTCTCTTTAAGTAACAGAGAGCTACAAACGAGGGGGGACCGCCCAAGCCACGGGGCAGGTCAGAGGCGGGGGTTACCTGGCTGCCAAGGCAGGGGCTAGGAGATTAGTTTGCAGTCTGTGTGTTGGAGGAGAAAACTGAGCAAAGCACTTGTGGGCATGAACATTAGGAGGAAGCAGAGAGACACTGATTCTTGGGCACAGAGCCCGCTGGAGGGGCAGATGTGTGGATTTTGGAGCGAGGAAAGCTGTCTGCTGCCGGCTGTTTCAGGGAAACAAGACTTTGTGGACACTCTTTGTAAACAAACAAGGTTGCACTGAGAACAGACCTGATTCACAGCATTGATTTCTCCTCATAATGAGCTCTGCAAGGCTAACGCTCAGGGCAAAGAGGCAACATTATTCCTGTTACAGACGCACCTAAGAACTGCCCATGAGATCAGGGCCACCCGGCGCTAGGGGCTGCACAGTCATGTAACAGAGAAGACAAGGCTTGCCCAGAGAGCTCACAATCTAGGATCTGTGACCCAAGGGCTAGTAGCTATGTTGGCTCTGATTCACCGCCGTGTTGCTCCTGGTTTGCACAAGTGGAACTTTGTCAACGTGGTGTAAAGCAGGAGTAATGCAGTGGTGAAGTAGGCTTGCAGAGGTGGGATAATCAGTGCGGGAGATGAGGGGCTATTTTGCACTAGCTAATTCTGGTCTATTTCCCCATGGACACTCATTCTAGAATAAGAGTACCTTTTTCTGCTTGTCTACACGGGGACAATCGGGAAAGTTAATCCAAATTAACTTCTAATATGAATTAGTTAAAATGCATTAAGCCCCTGTGTGGATGCTCTTAATCTGAATTAACGTAAGGCCACGTCTACACTATGGAGACAATAGTAGTGTATTTTTTCACATCTCAGAGCGCCATAGCTGTTGACCGAAATTTGAAGTATAGACCAGGCCTGACTCTAATTTCACTTTGGAAGTGAGTTCAGTGAATCCAAATCAAAGCCACTTTTATTCTGAATCAGAGCATCCACACGGGGGTTTAATGCGCTTTAACCAAGGGCCTGTCAGTACAAACAGGCAGCTTGCGGTGTAAATCTACCCCACACTAGCCTGCCGTGCACTAACTCCCCATGTGGCCCCTGCTGTCTCGCTCCACAAATTCCCCAATGCGCTGTGATGTTCTCCCCTGAGAGAGAGACACTGAGGCATTGAGAGAGAGGCTGGGAAGAGCCCTGCAGGGAACAATCATGCTCTGGGTTTTGCGGGGGTGGACTGGGAGAGCCGGCCGCACATTCCAATCTAGGGTGTCTACCAGGATATCTCTGCCTCTCCCATCAAAGCCTGTTAGAATGTTCCAAGGTGGGTTCTTACCTTTGGGTATGAAGCGAGGTATGGAGTACAACATCCGGAAAGCTGCACCGACTGCGAGCAAACAGACATGGGAATGACGAGTTACAGCGGTGTCTGTTTATTACGTGAACTCACCTTGTTAAATCTTTGTACGTACATGGCCCCCGTTACCACAGAATCAGAATCTTTCCTGCGTTTAGCTCAGGGGTGGGCAAACTTTTTGGTCCGAGGGTCACATCGGGGTTGCGAAACTGTATGGAGGGCCGGGTAGGGAAGGCTGTGCCTCCCCAAACAGCCTGGCCCCCACCCCCTATCCACCCCCTCCCACTTTCCACCCCCTGACTGCCCCCCTCAGAACCCCTGACCCATCCAACCCCCCCTGCTCCCTGTCCCCTGACCACCCCCTCCCAGGACCCCCTGCCCCTAACCGCCCCCCCCGGGACCCCACTCCCTATCCAACCACCCCATGTTCCCTGTCCCCTGACTGCCCCCCAGGAGTCCCTGCCCCTTATCCAACCCCCCTGCTCCCCTCACCTTTACCATGCCGCTCATAGCGGCAGGACTGGCAGCCACGCCACCTGGCCGCAGCCAGCCACGCCGCTGCACTGCCCAGAGCACTGCCCGCACGGCGAGCTGAGGCTGCGGGGGAGGGGGAACAGCAGGGGAGGGGCTAGGAGCTAGCCTCCCCGGCTGGGAGCTCAGGGGCCGGGCAGGACAGTCCCGTGGGCCGGATGGGGCCCGCGGGCCGTAGTTTGCCCACCTCTGGTTTAGCTCCACAACACCCTGGGAGGTAGGGCAGTACTATTATGTCCATTGCGCAGATGGGGAAACTGAGTCACGGAGCAGCTAAGTGACTCGCCCAAGATCACATGGGGAAGTGTGCCCCCACATTTATACTGCTATTTTTAGCCATGCTAGCATGGGTTAAGCTAGCGCAGGTATGTCTACCCAAGCGGCAGTCGCACCCTGGATGGCAGTGTAGACACACTCTTAGTCCTGACCTAGAAAGATGACTTCTAGTGGGCAGTTCAGTCCCTGTCACCATTCCCTCCTTGGCCTCTCTGCTGCGGCTGGGGCAGTTTGCAGCGATAGGAACAGTTACTCACCGGGGGCTGGACTGGCTGGTAGCCAGTAATCATTTTCATTTGCTACTGACCTGGGCTGGACTTGAACCAATCATCTAGGCGGGAAAAGGCAGCCTTAGAGCCATTCAGTTCTCCTCCATGGTCCAATTATTAGATCATCACTCTCACACCCAAGATAAACCAACACTTTCTGCGAGCTAACTCCCTCCCGAGGCCTGTCCCTGCTGAGCATTGGGGCTAGCAGGATCTGACAACACATTCTGCCCCCAACACAGCCCACTTAGGGACCCGGTTCGCAGCATGTGAACCTCAGCGTCGCTCCATGGACTTCGATGGAAGGACGCTGATTCACAGCAGCTGGCTTTACGCTTGTATCGGTCCAGAACGACAGCCCGACCTTGATCGTAGGCCATGAGGTAGTAATCGGACTCGCTGTTCTTTTTCTTCCCTTTCACCAGCAGCACAATCATCTCCTCTTCCGTGATGTAGACAGCCCAGAGGATCGTGCAAGAAACTGAAAGTGGTGAGAGAGAAAGAGAGAGGCAGCAAAATCTTTCCAAACGGCTTTTTCTAAACATCTCTGTGGCGATGATTTTGAATAAGCAACAGTCTCCTCGTATAACATGTCACTGCTATATTGTACCAGTGTTCCAGATGAGGAGCCAGTGTTCCAGAATTGTATCAGTGTTCCAGAATTGCACCAGTGTTCCATTGTACCAGTGTTCCAGAATTGGAGCCAGAGTTCCACATGAGGTCATCTGGAACACTGGCTCCAATTCTGGTCCCCCATGCTCAAGAAAGATGGATTCAAATGGGAACCGGTGCAGAAGAAGAGGATGATCAGGGGACTGGAGAGCCGATCTCTTGAGAGGAGAGAGAGAGAGCTTGTTTCGCCTGGCAAACGGCAGGTTGAGGCTATGTCTACACTTAAAATGGGAGGGGTTCTCCAGTCACTGTAGTCAATTCACCTCCCCCAGAGGTGGTAGCTAGGAAGAATTCTTCCCTTGAGCTAGCACTGTCTACACTGGGGGAGAGGTCGCCTGGACTAGGTCTCTTGGGGGTGTGGGTTTTTCACACATAGCCATTCAGTGTAGAATTGGATCGCTTCCCATAGTGATGGCATCGGAAATGGAGGGGGAGAACATGTCCAGGAGGCTGGAGATGAGAAGAAGGTGTCTAGCCCTCCGAGGAGGGGACAGCCTCCAGATAGGAGCAGTGAGGGGCAAAGAACCTAACTGGCTGGAGGATGGAGCTTGATTGGTGTCTGACCGGGGTGACATGGCAGGAGGCCCCTTGCAGTCCTGTGCGCTTCTGATTCAGGGAGGCGGCAGCAGCTGATAAGCCGGCTCACATTTTGTGGTTTAAATAATTTTTTACTCCTGCAGATGGGAGCTGGGGCCTTCGCTCATGGATTTGTTTGGGGATTCACGGCCGAGCCTTTTCTCTGTAACAGACTCCCCCTCCCACAATGAATCCCAACACAACGGGAGCCCCAGACCTTAACAGCCAGGCTCTCTACCCCAAGGTCGAACAGCCAGTCAATGGCAGGGCTGAGAATGGACACAGGAGTCCTGACGGCCTTCCAGCCCCGCCTGCTCCAACCACTAGGCCCCACTCCCTTTCCAGAGTTGGGAA